ACTTGCAATTTTCATATTTACGAGGGAAAAGATAGTCACATGAAGCCCCCCAGAGGCCCAGACTACCTAGGGAGCAGTGACAAGATAGTTTGGGACTTGGTATCACCCTTTTTTCCATATGGGGTACCACTTACATGGACAATTTTTTATACAAGCATGCCATTATTTAGACATTTGTACAATCTTGGAATTGATGCATGTAGCACTGTGAGACCTAATCGCCAGGGCTTCCCCCAACAGCTTGTACATGCCCAACTTAGAAGGGGGGTGGGGGGTGAAAGCCTGCTTGAAAAATGATGAATTTCTCACAGTGAAGTGGAAGGAGAAATGAGATGTTTTCAGCACCAATCTGTTTATTCTGATAGCAATAGGGCGTGCTCTCAGAATATATGTCAGGGTGTGCAGTGCTGCTGGATGAGATTTTTCATCAGCAGTGCTCAAGCATGGGGGCATGGGGTGACCATTGGGTGGATCGCCCCTATGCTTATATATTTGTAAAAAAAAAAAAATGTTGGCAGAGATTTCTTCATCCACTTTGATTGATGTTAATAGAGAAATCTGTTAGGTTCTTTTCGTGTATGCCCATCATTAGAAAAGAGTGGACGCAGGGTGGTATATTTTAATGGCATAGATTAAAATAGATTAGACACACTTTTTCTGGCAGAGATTTCTTCTCTTTTTTTTATTTAGCCCACAGGCTGCATGGAAAAAAAATAGCATAACATATATGCCCAACAAGAATCAGCAACATACTGGTACATCACTGCACTTTGACTGGTTTTACAAGGATGATGCCTGCAGCTTCAGGCACCATTCTGGTATTGTTTTTTTTCAGCGGGCGATCAGCTTTCATGTAAAAGCAATTGTAGTGGCTAATTAGCTGCAGGATTGCTTTTACAAGCAGTGGGAGGAGATGCCCCCCCCAGCTGCCCTCCATGGCTTTTTTGGGCAGTCCCATGCCATCAGCTGAGAATGCAGCCGGAATTTCCGCCAGCTTACCATAGAGCTGATTGGAGACTGGAATGGCTCCAATCATCTCTATAGTCTAAAAAACTGGAAGCTATGAGCATTTCATCACTTCAGTTTCGCAGGATATAAACAACGCCATTTTTAAATTGGGAAAGCACCTGATCTAGAATCTAATAAAGCTCAGATTTCTTTAGAAAGTCTTAGAGTACCTGTCACTGCATATTGTTATCATAGGGGATATTTACATTATGTGTGATAACAATAAAACTGATCAAAAAAAATGAAAGGGACAGTGTAAAAAAAAAAAAATCTAAATAACTAATTAAAAAAAATGAAAGCACCCTTGTGCCCCCGCGCTTGCATGCAACAGCTTACACAAGTGTCGGTCACGTGATGGTATGTGAACAGCAGTTGCACCATGCATGTGAGGTATCGCCAGGAATGTCAGATCAAGGGCAGTAATTCTAGCACTAGACCTCCTGTGTAAGTCTAAAGTGGTAGCCTGTAAAGGCTTTAAAGCATTGCCTAAAATGTATGTATTTTGTCGCTATTGCATGGGGCGTGCACAATTTTAAAGCATGTCATGCATGTTATCCATTTACTCGGCATAAACATCATCTTTTATATTTTACCAAACAATTGGCCAATAAATTGTGTTTTAGTGCATTAAAATTAAAAATAGTGTATTTTCTTAAAAAAAATTTGCGTTTGAAAAATCGCTGCGCAAGTACAGTGTGACACAGAAAATTGCAACACCCGCCATTTTATTCTCTTGGGCGTCTGCTTTAAAAAAAAAATATATATATATATATATATATATATATATATATATAAAATATATATATAAAAAAATGTTTGGGGATTCAAAGTACTTTTCTACCAAAAAAAATACTATTATTTTATGCGAACAAAAAGTGTCAGAAAAGGCTTGGCCTTCAAGTGGTTAGAAGAGTGAGTGATGTGTGGCATAAACTTTTAATGCTGGGCATAAAATGCCAAGATAACAACCCCCCAAAAATTTACTCCTTTTTGGAAAGTAGACACCCCAAGCTATTTGTTGAGGGCATGTTGAGTCAATAGATATATGTTTGTTTTTTTTTACACAAAGTTGTCACTTAAATTATATATTGCTCACACATGCCATGGGTATATGCGGAATTACTCCCCAAAATACATTCTGCTACTTCTCCCGAGTATGGGGATACCACTTGTGAGAGACTTTTTGGCAGTCTAGCCACATACAGAACCCCAAGAACCTTCAGGCTTTTAAAGGGCTTTATTTCCTCATTACACTTCCTGACTACCTATCACAGTTTCAGAGGCCCTGAAATGGCAGAATAGTACCCCCCACCCCCCACAATGAATTTGATAAGAGGCATGGAGAGTATTTTGCAGATCTCGTTTGTTTCCAAGCATTTTTGGAAAATTAAGAAATAAAATGAAAACTTCTTTTTTCTTTTCTATTTTTCTTTTTCAAAACCTTGTAGGAAAAAATTAGATCTTCAAAATACTCACCATGCCTCTTATTAATTCCTTGGGGTGTCTACTATCCAATAAGGGTTTATTTGGGGGGTTGTGCTACCCTGGAATTTCAGGGTCTCTGAAACTGTTATAGGTAGTGAAGAAGTGAAATGAGGAAATTGCACACCTTCAGGCTTTCAAAGGGGTCATTGGATTTCGGGCTCCTGTATGAAGTTAGGTTCCCAAAAAGTCTTGCACATGTGGTATCCCCATACTCAGGAGAAGTAGTAGAATATATTTTGGGGTGTAATTCCACATATACCCATGGCATGTGATCAAGTATTTCATTGACTCAACATGCCTCTCATCATATAGTCTGGGGTGTCTTCTTTCCAAAAAGTGTTTTTTTTAGGGGGGGAGGGGGTTGTGCTATCCTGGAATTTCAGAGCCTCTGAAACTGTGATAAGTAGTGAGGAAGTGAAGTGAGGAATTTACGCACCATCAGACTTTTAAAAGGGTCATTGGACTTCGGGCTCCTGTATGCGGCTAGGCTCCTAAAAAAAGTCTCATAGGGGGGTATCCCCATATTTAGGAAAAGAAGCAGAATATATTTGGGGATGTAATTCCAAATATACCCATGGCATGTGTGAGCAATATACCATTTAAATGACAACTTTGTGTCAAAAAAATATGTATTTTTCCAAAAGCTTGTGGAAAAAAATAAATCTTCCATGGACTCAACATGCCTCTCAGTAAATAGCTTTGGGTGTCTGCTTTCCGAAAAGGGGTAATTTTTACTGCCCTGTCATTTTAGCACCTCAAGAAATGTGATAGGCAGTCTGAAAGTAAAAGCTGTGTAAATTCCAGTATCTATAGCATAGTTTGTAGACGCTATAACTATCACATAAACCAATTAATATACACTTATTGGGATCTTTTACCAGAGACATGTAGCAAAATACATTTTGGCCTAAATGTATGATGAAATTTGAATTTATTGGATATTTTGTAGAACCGAAACAAGAAAATATAATTTTTCTTCAAAACTTTTGATTTTTTGTTTTTTTAGTGCAAAAAAAAAAAAATATAACAGAGGTAATCAAATACCACCAAAAGACAGCTCTATTTGTGTAGAAAAAAGGACATAAATTTTGTTTGGTGCAGTGACTTCAGCGAAGTCATCTTTCTTTCTGTCAATGCAAGTTACTGAATCCACATGTAAGCATATAAGCAAAATACATTGTATATCTTGCTTTTATTGGTTGAACTATGAGGTTCTGTTCTTCCTTTTTTTATGTAAATACTTACCATTTGTGATGATGGTATAGAGTGTAAATGGAAATAATTTGTCGGAGCCAAAGAACAAATGTGATGAGAGCATACTAGCCTCACAGATTGAAGGGGCATCTCATGGTGTATAACTGAGTGTCAGTTGAACTCATTTGATCTTATTTACCTGGGATCCAATCTTTCTGGTTAGAAATGTGTGTATCCAGGTGGTGTGGAGTTTTTTTTCACAACACAGGCTGCTTTTGGGATTTGCACGGGATTATGATTACCATATTTTTCACTCCATAAAAAATGCATTTTTTTTGTCCCCCCCCCCCTCCTTCTCAAAATGGGGGAAAATGTCTGTGTGTCTTATGGAGCAAATATGGAGCAGCCGGCCCGGTATTCCCTCCATCGCCGCGTTAGAATACCAGGTCCTACCTGTTTCTTGGTCCAGCGGTGTCCTGCTTTCACCAGCCATCATCTCTCCCTGGTGCCGGAATCTTCAGTGTGGGCACCCAGCTGTGTCAGCTTGTGGCTTCACAGCCGGGTGCCACTGCGCATGCGCAAGAAGAGCTGCGCTTTGTGAATGGCCACGCAGTCTTGTGGGACCTGTCACATGTCCCCAGAAGACTACAGGGAGGGAGGGAGGGAGGACACCTCTGTGGAAGTGGGAGCAAGTACCTGTCAAATTCGGGTACCCGCCCCCCCCCATCCCCAAAGGTCTGCAATCTCTGGTCATCTCCTGTACTATGTCTGTAGTCTCTGGTCATCTCCTGTACTGTGTCCGCAGTCTCTGGTAATCTCCTGTACTGTGTCCGCAGTCTCTAGTCATCTCCTGTACTATGTCCGCAGTCTCTTGTCATCTCTTGTACTATGTCCGCAGTCTCTGGTCATCTCCTGTACTATGTCCGCAGTCTCTTGTCATCTCCTGTACTATGTCCGCAGACTCTGGTCATCTCCTGTACTATGTCTGCAGTCTCTGGTCATCTCTGTGGTATGTCTGCAGTCTCTGGTCATCCCCTGTACTATGTCTGCAGTCTCTAGTCATCTCCTGTACTATGTCAGCAGTCTCTGGTCATCTCCTGTGGTATGTCTGCAGTCTCTGGTCATCCCCTGTACTGTGTCCGCAGTCATTGGTCATCTCCTGTAGTATGTCCACAGTCTCTGGTCATACCCTGTACTGTGTCCGCAGTCTCTGGTCATCTTCTGTACTGTGTCCGCAGTCTCTGGTCATCTCCTGTACTATGTCTGCAGTCTCTGGTCATCTCCTGTACTTTGTCCGCAGTCTCTGGTCATCTCCTGTACTGTGTCCGCAGTCTCTGGTCATACCCTGTACTGTGTCTGGAGTCTCTGGTCATCTCCTGTACTTTGTCCGCAGTCTCTCTGGTCATCCCTTGTACTGTGTCCACAGTGTCTGATCATCTCTTGTACTATGTGCGCAGTCTCTGGTCATCTCCTGTACTGTGTCCGCAGTCTCTGGTCATTCCCTGTACTGTGTCCGCAGTCTCTGGTCATACCCTGTACTGTGTCCGCAGTCTCTGGTCATCTCCTGTACTGTGTCCGCAGTCTCTGGTCATCCCCTGTACTGTGTCCACAGTGTCTGATCATCTCTTGTACTATGTGCGCAGTCTCTGGTCTTCTTCTGTACTGTGTCTGCAATTTCTGGTCATACACTCTCACGGCTTCAACTACCACCTCTATGCCGACGACACACAAATCTATCTCTCAACCCCCCACCTCACCCCTCAGTCTCCGCCCGAATCACACACCTGCTGAGCGACATATCAGACTGGATGTCGCTCCACTTCCTTAAACTGAACCTCTCCAAAACCGAGTTTCTTGTCTTCCCCCTAGCCCGGACACCACCCCCCATTGACTTCTCTATCACATCGAACAACGCTACCATCAAACCCACCCCGCAGGCCAGAGTACTGGGTGTCATTCTGGACTCCAACCTATCCTTCCAGCCCCAAGTCCAGTCTTTATCAAGCTCGTGCAGACTCCACTTCCGCAACATCGCCAAATCCGCACGTTCCTAATTCCAGAAAACCACTAAACAGCTCATCCACTCCCTCATCATATCACAACTCAACTACTGCAACTCCCTCCTCACTGGCCTGCCTGGCCGCTGGCTATCCCCGCTTCAGTCGATCCTGAATACGGCTGCCAGACTCATTCACCTTTCTAAACCGCTCCGTCTCCGCCACCCCCCTCTGCCAATCCCTCCACTGGCTTCCGATTGCGCAACGGATCAAATTCAAAATCCTAACACTGACGTACAAAGCTGTCCACCATACTGCCCCAAACTACATCACTGGCCTAAAATCCAAGTACCGCCCAGCACGCACACTCCACTCCTCACAAGACCTCCTTCTCTCTAGTTCCCTGGTCTCCTCCTCCCATGCCCGCCTCCAGGACTTCTCCAGGGTGTCACCCATCCTCTGGAACTCCCTGCCCCAACCCATCAGATTATCACCTACTCTCCTCTCCTTTAGGTGCACCCTGAAAACCCATCTCTTCAGGGAAGCCTACCCCACCCCCTGCTAACTTGCCGACCTCCTCCACTCTTCCTACCCACTTCATCCCGCACAGCTATCTCCTCCTGTGCCACCATCCCCTCCCTCCTAGATTGTAAACTCGAAAGAGCAGGGCCCTCAAATCCCCTCATCTTTTGCATTGTATCGGTATTGTTCTGTCACATGTTCTGTCCCCCTTTGTAATGTACAGCACTGAGCGAACTATTGGTGCTTTATAAATACTGTATAATAATAATCTCCTGTACTATGTCCACAGTCTCTGGTCATCTCCTGTACTATGTCTGCAGTCTCTGGTCATCTCCTGTTTTATGTCTGCAGTCTCT